ATGCATTCCAGTGTATCAAATGGTGCACAATGGAGTTTCCAAAAACTATACGTTATAGAGAAACAAAGATATTTTAAATGAATGAAAATTTTAAATATTGTGTATTTATCGTTGCCAGCTGGAAAACACTGCAATGAAAAATACTATATCTTCATAAATATTTGCAGCAAACAAAACTCAGAATATATATTATCAAGATAAATGACCCAGGAATAGTATAGAGAGAGAGGGAGATACAGATGCAAGGAAAGGCAGGGAGGTTAACTAGACGCACATCCGGTTTGCTACCCTGCACTGGGGAAGGGATAAAGGGGAGAAAAGAGATTGCAGAAAGAGGAGAAGGTACACAGAATCACGAGCACACTTGGGGAGCACACACAGTCTACAGGCGGTCGCTCAGGTTTGTTGACTTAAGGTAAACTAGCAGTCCTTTAGTTGCTTTCTGCGCAACTGGGGCAAGGTCCTAGTATCAGGAATAGTATAAAAAATAATGAATGTTATACAGAATGTCTCTATTTACATAAACAAAGAAAATCAGAAGTTAGGCGCTGCTTCATCACTCGTGCGATGCGATGAAGCACTTGCTTGTTTTTTTATGACGCACAAGTGAACTCGTACACTCTATTCAGTGATTCGTTGTTTTTTTTTTGCGATAAGAGGCCGCAGGTGCTAACATTGGAGCCTGTAGAAGACAGATAATCTGATAAGAGGCTGCAGGTAAGAGATAGATGCCCGTGATGTGAATCATTCTTCTGTAAATCAGATGCCCAATGAACTCCGCTATTTCGTCTAGCATCACTTCTTTCCATGAGCCACCTCACTCCGCATAAGTTGGCATTCCAATATATGTATCAAGGCATATTTCTTTACATTTTTTGAATATCGTATTAAAAAACAATATCCTACGTCATCCTAAAATATTTCGCAGAGCTACGTACAGTGAGGGCCATGACAAGATGTGCTCCGGCAACCTTCTAGAAGCTCTGCCGCAGGCGCCAGCACACCACGCCCCAGCAGCGTGTTGACCTCACACGTAACCAGACTAGCTGTAAGATTGCGCACAAAGGTGAGAAGCTACGCACTTGCGGCCAAGGAGGTGCAGCTTGAGGCCATAAACAAAGGAAAACTTTATGAACGGCAGTGGGAGTCTCAGGCTGACGCAAAACATGATCGCCATAAAACTTGAAGCTCAGGTGCTGTCATCCTCGGACTCTAAAGTCGTCCTCACTCAATTCAGATGATGTCTCAAGACAGTTGCGAGCAGCGCATGTGATTTGCAGAGCTGGTTTCTACCCATGCGGGAGGGACGCCACCGCCATATTAGTGACTAGTGAAACTAGATGCCGCCCTGTGTCTGATACAGGCGAAACCATAGCTGCTGTAAACTGGCTTAGAAGGCCACCTCCACACTTTACACATGCCGCGAACCTTCGAAATGATTTTTCGCAGAATATAAGTTTTCCCCGACTCCTAGCAACAGCTCTCTATTGAATAAGCTGGCATACATTTCTGGCAAATAATTATTACATGCTCAACACTGTCAGATCACGAAGCTGACACCTTGAATTCATATTTGACTTGCAAAGGTTCTTGTTAGTGCTTTGATGTTACTGCAGCATAACCACGAGGGGCACGCCCTTTTGTCAAGTTCGCCTACCAATTGCATTTTCCCAATAACACACGAACGTTCGTTCACTCACGGCCTGTGTTAAAAGTACGCCCTGTTCGGCGTCGTATTGGGTTGTCACCATCAGGGACGCTCAGACTCAATTATGTTCGTCGTAAAAATGTCATCATTGAAGCGGTGTGTTTGCGATAACATACTTACCTAACTGTTTTGAAGAACCACCACTTGTCATCTGGATAATGTGCAGATTTAGTCTGCGTAGTTGATAGTCTTCTTTTTTTAAATATATGCATAATAAATCAACGCTACCACTTTCGGAGTTTTCATCGTATTGTTAAGTGAAGAGACCTGAGGAGAATACCCAACATGAAGTGTTTATGAAAAAAATTTAAATAAAGTGAGTAATGCTTGTATTGTTAGCCTGCCGGAATAGCCCCGGGATATTAAAAAAGAAAGAAAAGCCTGGATCGCTGAATTTTTAGGGCACTCTCACCTTCGTGCGCTGGGTTCTCACGTGATGTACCCGCCGTACGTATCATACCCCATCATAACGTGATGATTTTAAATGAGGAGCCTTCCTTTGCGTGCTGCAATTACTTTTAGCGTCTATCTATCTATCTATCTATCTATCATCTATCTATCTATCTATCTATCTATCTATCTATCTATCTATCTATCTATCTATCTATCTATCTATCTATCCAACCGTTTATGTCTGAGCGCTCTCGTGATCACCCCTTTAACTTGGTGTCAACCAAAGTTACTATGGGAGGATAAGATAGTTTGACGATTATGACGCGCTGGTCAACACACGAACAATATCAAAATCCTGTCGCGTAGTTCATCAAACACTTCGCGCCTGACAGTGGCACATACCCGTGCGCGGGTGTGTGCCATTGGTATGCAGGTATGTGCCACAGGTGATTTAACACTATCGTATCTATGCACCTTACAAAGAGGGTTCAGCTTAAATTGAAGACGACGCAGCGAGCAATGAAAAGAAAAATGGTAGGGGTAACCTTAAGAGACAAGAAGAAAGCAGAGTGGATTAGGGGACAAACGGGGGTTAAGGATATCATAGTTGAAATAACGAAGAAGAAAAGGACATGGACCGGGCATGTAGCGCGTATACAGGATAACCGCTGGTCATTAAGGGTAACTAACTGGATTCCTAGAGAAGGGAAACGGGTTAGGGGGAGACAGAAGGTTAGTTGGGCAGATGAGATTAAGAAGTTTGCGGGTATAAATTGGCAGCAGCAAGCACAGGACCGGGTTAACTGGCAGAACGTGGGAGAGGCCTTTGTCCAGCAGTGGACGTAGTCAGGCTGATGATGATGATGATGATGATGATGATGATGATGATGATGATGATGATGATGATGATCTTTCCACCTAGGAACGACGAGTACACACATGAGTATTTTCACGCGTGAGCACTGAGAAAATGCTTACATCGGCAGCGTTGACCCGACGAGTGCAAAGAACAAATGTTGGGGTCCCATGTTGGAATCAAACCCAAGCATTCTGCGTGGAAATCAAGCATACTACCACCGAGTCACGACAGGTCTGGGAACTATTTTTGAAATAGACCTTAATGTTCGTGAAACGTCCATAGGAGTTGCAGTGCTGGCTAACCAACTTTATAATTTTATAAACATTACATATGAACTCTTATGCTACAGCCATCATATCGGGTTAACGTCTATTGTAGTTAGGTGTTATGCGCTGAAGTTAATTTATGTAGCAGTGTCTAGAGCTGCCATCTTCACAATCACCAGCACTTCATATCAGCTTATCGCTTCTGGTGTTGCTTATAGTCATGTTCCTTTTGGCATTGTTGCACTAGTACAAACAAATGCTTATGTTGACATGTGCAACTCTTCAACATGTGTGTTTGCATGCAACAGTTGTACTTATATTACGCGTCATTTCATAACGTGTCACTCGATAAGAAAGATACGATAATACGGTAACCTTCCCTCCGCATGCAGAGGGAAGGTACGTGGCATCTACCGAATTTTTTTTAGTGTCACTCGTGTTGGCGCTGCAAAGATGTGGGATACCGAGAGTCATTTTTCACGTATAATGAAGCATCTGACGCATAACGAAAGTATATATTTATTCTCTACCTCTCTATTTATAGGGCCCACATGTAAGAATACCTTTTCTGCAAAGCGCGTTGTGCAGGTGCGGAGAAATCATGCTGAGTACCCCTACATGCGGCGTGCCATGTGCTCATGTCATTGCTATGGCCGGAGTCGCCGTTTGGGTGGAATTGAGAAGGCGCCAGAACTCAAACTAAATGTAGCCAAAGTAGCAATGTCATTTAATATTATCGTCAAATTTGTTGCGAAATAGAACAGGAGAATTGTAATATCGAGAGAGTCCTTACTATTTATGAATAAATAAAACAATTTTGAATAACTAAGACCAGAAAATTTAAAGTAGTCTGCAAATAGCCATCACACCAACTGGGACTTCTTGTCGCCAAACGGGTTGAAAAGTAACCAATTTGGCTCAATGTAGCCCCCAAAGGCAACCATGGCTACGGCACGTAAAACCCCAGACCCTAACATCTAATTTCGCTAGCTTTGTCAAAGGAAATCATCCCTCCTACTATGTATAGGTGTTTGCATTATCTGGCGATTCCAAATGTGAACTTTCAGGCAACGTTTTCGATCAAAGAACATGGTCGGAGCGTTAGGCATCGACAAACGACAGCACTGTGGCACTACATAACCTTCGTGCGACGACCATTATAAAAACTGAAAACTCGACCTTAAAGTTTACTGGCCTCGATACAAAGCTGCAAAAAGCGCGAATAAATTTGCTGTTTGGACAAGTGCCCGCAGCGGGAGCGTAGCCTCTCTCGAGTATTGCGTGGTAGACTTCACGAAACGCACACTCGAGTGTTGTGCAGCCCGACGGCGCCTGTCGAAACAGTTTGCAAGCTTGGCCGTGTCATGCTAATTGAAAACGAGCGTCGCTTTCACCCCACTTTCCTCGCAGAAATTACTGCGAGCAAAATTTTCGCTGGCGTCAAAACATTGCCGCCTTGGCCAGCAGCCCCCAATCGTGGTCTTCAATTTTCCCGCTCCTCATTCAAAAGGACCGGCGCGAGAAAAAAAAATTAAACAAAATTTAACACAAACGAAACGAGCACGCTTCATTTGGGACGGGCCGTCTGTTCGCGCACTCTCCGCCGGAGCGCACACTGCGCGCTCCTGACAACGCGCGCGTCTTTTCCACCAATGGCGTGTTAGCTCGCTCTACGTCATCAGAGTTCCCGCGCATGCGCCGTTTCTTCGGGGCGCTCTAGTTGTGGAGAGAAGGGGAAGGGTGTAGCGGTGGTGGGACCGCGGGGAGCAAGTAAGCGGCCGAAAAAGCGTCCGATGGGAGAGGACGACGGTACGGAGCAGCGTAGCTGCGTCGGACAGCAGCGCACGTTTTGATTGCGATTTCAGCCGGGCGGCTGGAGGCGCACACGGGTACATGGCGCGGTCAGCGAAAGATGTGCCACGATGACACGCGCTTCTCGTCTGCGGGATAACTTGCCGGCGGCGGCGGCGTGCTGCGCTCCGCATCATCTTCATCTCGTGACGACGGTGCGGTGGTTGTGTGTGTGGTGGGCCCTTCAGGCGCTCCTGTGCGCGGGGACATGCGACTCGGCCGACGTGGATGTGGTGGCCACTTGTTACGCCGACTGCGGATCGCGCCTGGTAAGCTACCATCTCCACATTCCCCGGCCGGACCGTCAGCTGATTGGCGCGAGATCAGCTGTGCCTTGAACGGGATCTGTATCCAGGGGAACCTTTTTGCGCGATAATTTTTCCTAAGATGAAATAGCTGCCAATCGTGTGACAGGACATAAGATTAGCCAAGTCGTCCGATCAATGCTGCAGAAGCGCACTTACGAGCCAAAAGCACTTACGAACCAAATTTGGCCCCCGCGGCCATATGCTCGTTACCTCGGTTAATACTAGTTTCTCTTGCGAATGATTTTAGTATCAGAAGTTTTGTGAGTAAGAGCTATATCCTGTTGATTACTACTATTATTTTCGGTTTCGAGAGCTTAACCTAATCTAAAAAAGGCCTTGACTTGGAACGGCACTGGGCTTAATCTCGTGGGTCCATCGCACGATTATACTGATACGCCGATGCATAGTTTCGTTTACTCGTCGATCCCGACCCAAGAGAGACGTGAACATGTGTGTACTAAGACCATAGCTGCGTAAAGAAAATATGCCGCTAAAGTGTCCTCCAAATAGATTATACATCCTTGGCGTGAGATTGTACCATGCAACCAACATGTATTTTCGAGTAATTAGATCATTTCCAACGATCGCTAAAAGGCCACTTGTGCTAATACAAAGCAAAGCGTACTATTTAGTACCTTGCTTCTGAAGCTATAAACTTGTCACACGATGTGTCCGTGAAAAATATACACTCTCACCGGCAATGCACGCATGGGTGCTGAAGAGCACAGAAATTAAGTTGTTTTGGTTGTCGCATTTGTTTCAATGTTGCTCTCAATTTTTATTATATTCGATGATGTTTAGCTTGCCCATGGGCACTGCAAGCACACAAACTTTTGCGTCGTAACCAGCGTCCATAGCCTGGTCTCTTAACATTTCGGTTTTACGAATCGAACTGCCTGTAAACATAAGTAGGTCCAAACATAATCTGGCCTCGAGTGTATGCACTTAGAAAATCACGAGAAACCAGTGCCTTAAGAAGTGATAAGTTGGCACTGTACCATTTGTGAGTAAACACGGGACTCAGCAGTCTTGATTATTTTCTGTTCGAGCTAGGGTTAACAGTCGAACTGAGTAGAAGGAGGAAACGTCGCAAAAGGCGTGCACGAAAAATATGTAGCAGCAAAAGAAAGTAAGAACTGAGGCCAAGTATATAACGGTTGCAGTCGTCCCTGTATACAGCTCTTGGCCACTCCTTCATCAGAGGCACGTGCGGCCAACCGTTGAGGTCAACAACAACAACTGTCTCTGAGTCGTCGTGTATGCGTCCCACGTCCTTGGCCCATGTTCTGACACTCAGTGAGCAACAGAGCCGCAGCGCGGGACCCCGCGAGAAGTGTCGCGAATCTCCGGTCGAGGATCCTCAGAGAAAGTGTCTTCGCGTAAGCAGCCTCACGGTTACTGCGTCGGCGCTGACCTCAGGCGCGAAAGCGCCACCGTTAGCACGATGTGCTCAACAGCGGCAACGGTTTCTGTAAACGAGTGTGTAGGTCACAACAGCTGGTGCCACAGCGGATGCTGTTGTGAAAGCTGTGGTGGTGTGATACGCACACACAGACAGCCGCCATGATGATAGTGATTGGTGGGGACAGATGATACGACTATAGTTATTTGACACAGAGCCTTGCTCCGGGAGGCTGAGAACGCAATGCTCACGCATTTGCGTTTTGTTTACCTGTCTCGTTTCTGAATTCCAAGCACGTGACACTTATTACTGAAGCTTATTAGTTTTTAAACAGCTTGTCAACACGAATGGCGCTCAGTTCATTACAATCAATAACCTTGTAGTCTAATATAACTAAAGAAGTCAAGAGAGGGCCGTGCCATACAACCAATGCGCCGCTGTCTATGTAATACGCAACTACATAAACAGTCCCGCTAATGCACCTGTCAGTGTTCTCCGAAGGCGGTGTCACCGACCGTCCTGCCGATGACGTCAGTCTGGCCTGCACACTTATTGGTGCAGACTTGTGTGCATCCGCCACTGAGAAGGAAATGCACCGGACTTCAAAATTCGTATCCTACTGCACACCGATTATATTCCAGGCAGTGCCTCACGTACGAGGTTTGAGTAAACGTAGCGTAGTACACCTAAATATATGAGAATTGGCCCATCTGTTGAACATTTTATTATGCCACACAACGTCATGGAGGAGCTTATACACTCTATATTTGCTTTGCATATTGATTTTATTCGCAATATATAGGTAGTACTGCTGTAGATGTTGACATTGTAAGCGAACGAACCTTCGCGATTGAGGATATCGATGGCCGAATTTCTTTCCGTTTCCAATCTTATCGTGCATCATGGCACCACACAGTTACTTCGACCTTTTGTTGCATTCCATTCCCTCAATAAGATCAGCTCTGCATCACTGTTCACGTGATGGTACAATGTCCAGTATAGTGGTCGTTAGAGTTGCATGCAGCGAATACGAACGGCATGCGGGTATGCACGCAGACAACTGCTGAGCTTGCGTTTTGCTGGCTAGCGAAAACGTCGGAGTAAACATGGCATGCGTCTAAATATTTCACTACTCATAATCTTTGCTGCAACTGTAGTGACATAGACGCGTGTAGTGACACAAGCCCCCGGCAGTATTCACTTCGGGACCTTTAAATGTATTTATGCCAGCCTTGTATTTATTTATTGAAATAAGTTTACTTTCGTCTTCGAAAAAAAAAGTCCCGAAACAACAAACGAGCGAGCCATCGCCCCCGATAAGCAGCGAATAGTTGTTTGTAAGCATGCACATGCGCTAACCTTACCTGACATATTCCAAATAACAAATTAACAATGTCAAAATGAAGTGTTTGGCAACATCTTGCTTATTTCGTAATTGAGTGCGAATCAGCGTGAATTACTAGCTCGCTGGGATATGCATGGCAGCTTTGGGGAAACGTCAATTCCGAAGGGGCCGTTGTTTGCATAGCAGGGGCGTATAGCCAGGGTGTGACTTACCGGGACCATTGTCTACCCCTCCTCCCGACATTCTATTTGCCATGGCATACAAAGCGAAAATGATCAATTGAAAAAGATAACTCCCCCCACCCTCCAAAAAATGTCTTCTTACGTCCCTGCTGCATAGTTCTGAATTTGCGTACTTACTGCCTTATTCCAAAGCATACTCGTCCTGGCGATTTGGGCTAGTTGGTATGACATGACGATTGGTATAACGCGACCTCAGCACGACGACAAAGGGACAAGAAGAGCTCAGAACGACGACCAAGGGACAAGAAGAAGACGAGTGCCCGTCTTGTTCTTGTCCCTTAGTCGTCGTTCTGAGCTCGCGCTATAACAATCGTCATACTCATCCATTGTAAGCATGTAAACAAAAGTAAACTTTCAGAGCTTTGCATCTTCCTTGCGCCCAGCGCGAATCTGGGACGGAGAGGAAGGCGTACTCGTCATTGGTGGCTGACGGCTGCGGACGTTATGGCTGCCCCAAGTCTTCGAGGGCAAACACACAATGAGCCTGCCGCCTTTGTGCCCGCCCAAAGACAACGGCGTGGGGAACGCTTACCTGCCAGCAAGTGATCCATCATTAGCTGCTTTGCCGAGCGTCTGTTGACGTTCGAGTGAATGGAAAAAACGCTCTCAAAGCTTTAGAAAACGGTGTCCCCGATGCCGCGTGCATGGCCTATACGTACGTGCCGTGTGCTGATGAGAAAGATCAGAGAAGTTTTCTCCGGGTACCTACCATTAACTGCCGTTAACTTTGAATGAAATGTAGGTTATCGTTAGCGGCGCCTGTATGGTACATTACATCTACCACAGACCGTATAAAGGTACATTGGACTTCGTACGGGGCTTCTAAGTGAGAAGACAGTTTAAATTTGGGAGGTAGTTACATGTTTGAAGTTCTAAGATACTGAGATTTTTCTCCTTACCCTTACGACAGCGACGATTCATCCCCGCTTCCAGGAGAACAATATACGAACAGCCTACTAAACAATTTCACATTGTGCTAAACCTAATCGATTTTACTTGTAACCGCTTACCTCCTGCGAAACTTGAAACACAAACCAAGAGTAGCAAACTGTCATGGCGGCCAAGGAGTCACGTCGACAGATCTGATATCACGTCTCAGAAGCGAAGAAATAAAGCAGGCGTCACACGACGTGATCGACTAACGAGTGTGTGGTCGAAAACTGTCAAATCATTAAAAAGGTCTGAGCTTTATTTTATTACAATCATCATCAGCCGCAGCATCAACAAAGTACATACACGGCTGCACACGGAACCTGTCAAGCTGGGATGCTGTTTTTTATGTCATCGTCGTCGTCATTCTTGTTGTTGTTATTGTTGTTGTTGTTGTTGTTGTTGTTGTTGTTGTTGTTGATGATGATGATGATGATGATGATGATGATGATGATGATGATGATGATGATGATGAGATAGCTGCAAACCGGATAGCTTTGGCCAGTTAAGGCGAATGAATAAGGCATCCTATGAATTTTACGCGAGTGCAGTAAATTGAAACCGCCGTCGAAGTGAAACGATGTTCCGTTTTCCTCCAGCTCACCGGCGAACACGCCGGCGAGCTTGTAAAACCGGACGAGGGCACTGAATGGCCTCGTCCACGATCTCACAGATTCCTGAGGACAATAATTACAGGTGTCCATTTCCTCACGGCGCTGACGATGGCGAAGTTTAATTCGGCCGGGGGTTGAGGCATGCAGTCCGCGTGACAGGAGAGCAGACAAAAGGGTCCCGCGCACCGACTCGCATCTCGCGCGTGTAAAGCGCCGAAACTCGTGCGGTCCATTCCCGCGCTGGAATCGCTTCATTTCGGGCACTGCGGCTCTCTCGCTGTCACTCTCTCTCTCTTCGTCGCTGTCGCCGGAAGTGGTACCTGTTTATTACGGCGCTCCTTCGCAACGGTCGGCCCTGCATACTCCGCACATTGTGCTGGGCGGTGGGCTTCAGCCATTCCTTCCACTCCTCTTGCCCGCCCTTCCCA